TAGTCACGGATAACAATTTTTCTATGAAACCAAGTCACGGATAACAATTTTTCTTAGAAAACTTGTCACGGATAATAATATTTCTAAGAAAACTAGTGACGAATAACAATATTTCTATGAAACCAAGTCATGGATAACAATATTTCTATGAAAACTAGTCACAGATGACAATATTTCTAAGAAAACTAGTCACGGATAAACATTTTTCTATGAAACCAAGTCACGGATAAAAATTTTTCAAAGAAAACTATTCACGGATAACAACTTTCCTATGAAAGCTAGTCACGGATAACAATTTTTCTAAGAAAACTAGTCACGGATAAGATCAAGGATAATAATTTCCATAAATATTTTTAAATTTCCCTTAACTTTGGCAACTCTATCCTTTACCTACTATATATTCTGTTCTATTCTTTTTTGTTTTTATATGCAATTTTTTATTTTTCTTTATTTCCATACAATGTTTTTTCTGTTCAATATTATGTGTTCTTTTGAGTTTGTGCAACTACAAAACCATTGAATAAAATGGAAAAAGAACGAATGAAAAAAGAATTGCGCTAGTATTAAACAAAAACAAAAAAAAACTATATTCCAGCTACTTGTAAACCCCTATTTTTGCAATTCCTTTCATGAATTTGTGGAAAACAGAAAATTGTCATAGTATTGGTAGTTTTTTTGTTGTTGTTGTAGTAACTATTACAAAAATAGTTTTTTTTCTCGATTTTTTTTTTGCAATTTTTTTTTTCTATAGAGGTGCATAAATGTGAATATAATGTATATTCTTTTTTTTTAAATGTTGATATTGACAAAATGTTAAAAACAAAAAAACGTTTATTGCGTTGCAATTATTTACTTGAAAACAAGCCAAAGCTATGAAAGTTATTTTTTATTTAAATGTATACGTTTGCATAAGTATGCAAATTATTGTTCGAAAAATTGTAGTAGAGTGTCCTTTTTTTATAGAAATTATAAAAACGCAAAATGAGGGTTAGTTGCTTTAAAGTTTTTGTGTTTTTTATAGAAATTTAACTGAAGGATGTTGTGATATGAAGCTGGGTGGGTTGTTAAATTAAAGCGAAATTTATTGAATTTTATTAAAGATAGGAATACATTTGTCTATTAAAACAAGTCACGGATAAAAATTTTTCTATGAAAACTGGTCACGGATAATAATTTTTTTATGAAAATATGTCACGTATGAACATTTTTTTATGAAAACTTATAAAAGACAAACAATTTTCTAAGAAAACTACTCACGGATAAAAATTTTTCTATTAAAACAGGTCACGGATAATGATTTTTGTAAGAAAACTAGTCACGGATAAACATTTTTCTATAAAAAACAGGTTACGGATAACATTTTTTTTAAGAAAACTGTGAGCGGATAACAATGTTTCTAAGATATATTGTCGCGGATAAAAATTTTCTAAGAAAACTGGTCACGGATAACTGTTTTTCTAAGAAAACTGGTCACGGATAAACATTTTTTCAAAGAAATCAAGTCACGGCTAACTATATTTTTATGAAAACTTGTCACGGTCAACAAATATTCTAAGGTCACGGATAACATTTTCTAAGAAATTTCTAAGAAAACTGTTCACGGATAATAAGTTTTCTATGAAAACTAGTCACGGATAATAATTTTTCTAAAAAAAACTGCTGACGAATGAACATTTTCTAAGAAAATTGTGAACGGATAACAATTTTTCTAAGAAATATCACGGATAACAAAATTTTCTATGAAAACTTATCATGTACATCAATTTTTCCATGAAAACTGTTCACGGATAAAGATTTTTCGAAAAAAACGAGTCACGGATAACAATTTTTCTAAGAAAACTGGTCTCGTATAAACATTTTGCTGTAGAAACTAGTCACCGATAATGATTTTTCAGTGAAATTTTACCTTAGACATTTCTTTAAAAAGTAGTCAATATTTCTATGAAAAACGTTTTTAAAAATACTGGTTTTATGATTTTCCTTTATGAAAATTCAGCAAAAAATACTGTTTTTAAACAGTTTTTTATGAAACTATCGGTTTTATAGTAGTTTTTAACAAAAATACTGGTTTTTATCAAAAATACTGGTTGTTATAATAAAATACTGTTTTTTGTAAAAAAAAGTACAGGTTTTTAAGAAAAATACTGTTTTTTTTAATACTGGTTTTTATATACTGTTTTTAAATACTGTTTTTTTATAAATACTGTTTTTTATAAAATCACTGTTTTTTATAAAAATACTGTTTTTTTAATAAAAATACTGTTTTTTTTTAAGTACAGGTTTTTATGAAAAATACTGTTTTTTTAATATTGGTTTCTATATACTGTTTTTAAATACTGTTTTTTTTTTTTTAAAATACCTTTTTTTATAAAAATACTGTTTTTATAAAATTACAGTTTTTTTTAAAAATACTGTTTTTTTATAAAATACTGTTTTTTATAAAAATTGTTTCTTTATAAAAGTACTGTTTTTTTATAAAATACTATTTTTGTATAAAAATACTGTTTGTCTTTAAATATCATTAATAAATATATAGTTTTTTTTTATAAAAATACAGTTTTTTATATAAAAATACAGTTTTCTATAATAATACTGTTTTTTAATATTAGTTTTACAAAAAGATATGTTTTTTTTAACGATTGCTTGATTGCTTTATAAAAATACTGTTTTTTTTATAAAAATTATATTTTTTTATAAAAATTATATTTTTTTATAAAAATACAGTTTTTTTTATAAAAATACAGTTTTTTTTATAAAAATAATAAAATATAAAAATAATGTTTTTTATAAAAATACAGTTTTTTTTATAAAAATACAGTTTTTTTGTAAAAATAATGTTTTTTATATAAAAATACTGTTTTTCTTTAAATATCATTGAACAAAACGTCTTTTTGTAAAAAAAAAATATATTTTTTATAGAAAAGACTAGTTTTATAAAAATACCGTCTTTTCATAAAAATACTGGTATTCATAAAAATACTTGTTTTTTAAATACTGGTTTTAATAATAATATGTACTACTTTTATTAAATAAATCATAGATAAGAAAAACTCTGTTTAAATTAAAAAAAAATACTAGTTTTTCTTTTAAATATCATTGAACAAAATACAATTTTTATAAGAAATACTGGTTTTTGTAAAAAATACTAGTTTTCAAAAATACATTTTTTATAAAAAAATACCAAAATACAGTTCATTGTAAAAATACTGGTTTTTATAAAAATACCGTTTTTTTAGAAAAAATACGATTTCATATAAAAACTCTTCTTTAAAATATCATTAATCATAAATTCTTTTTAATTAAAATACTTTTTTTTATAAAAATACTAGTTATTACTAAAAATACTGGTTACTCCTAAAAATATTGGTTTTCCGAAAATATTTTTTTTTATAAAAAAATAACAGTTTTTATAAAAAATACCAAAAATATTGGTTTTTATAAAAATACTGGTTTTCTTAAAAAGAACAGATTTTTTTTTATAAAACATAAGATTTTATATAAAAGACTCTTATATTTCTTTAAAAGAGCAATACTCTTTTTGACAACCAGTATTGTTCGTGAAAATATTGGTTTTTCTTTACAATATCATTAAACAATAATGCTTTTTTGTTAAAATACTGCTTTTTATAAAAACACTGGTTATTCGTAAAAATACTGGTTTTTCAAAAAAAATACCATACAATTCGTAACAATACTGGTTTCCAAAAAATGCAATTTTTGTTAAAATACTATTTTATAGAAAAATACTAGTTATTCGTAAAATACTGTTTTTTGTAAAAAATACTGGTTTTTATAAAAATACAGGTATTTAAAAAGAACAGTTTTTCTTATAAAAAATACGATTTTATATAAAAAACCTTATATTTTTCTTTACCTATTACCTCTTTGTGAAAACCAGTATTACATGTAAAAATATTGGTTTTTCTTTAAAATATCATTAAACAAAAATTCTTGTTTCTTAAAATACTGTTTAAAAAAATGTGAAAAATTTTGTTTTTTGTAAAAATACTGTTTTTGTAAAAAAATACTGTTTTTGTAAAAAATACTGTTTTTTGTAAAAAATACTGTTTTTTGTAAGAAATACCGTTTATTGTAAAAAATACTGTTTTGTGTAAAAAATACTGTTTTGTGTAAAAATACTATTTTTGTAAAAAATACAATTTTTGTAAAAAATACGGTTTTTTGTAAAATGATACTGTTTTTTGTAAAATGATACTGTTTTTTGTAAAAATACAGTTTTTTTGTAAAAATACTGTAAAAAGATACTGTTTTTTGTAAAAAAAATACTTTTTTTTTGTAAAAAATACTGGTTTTTGTAAAAAGATACTGTTTTTTGTAAAAAATACTGTTTTTCTTTTTGTAAAAAATACTGCTTTTTGTAAAAAACTCTTTTTATGTAAAAAATACTGTTTTATTGTAAAAAATACAGTTTTTTGTAAAAAAATACAGTTTTTAGTAAAAATACTGTTTTTTGTAAAAATACTGTTTTTTGTAAAAAATACTGGTTTTTGTAAAATTACTGGTTTTCATAAAAAAAACAGAAAATAAGATTTTATATAAAAAAACTATTATTTTTCTTTAAAATAAAGGTTTTTATTAAAGGACACATGTCATTGTAAAAACCAGTATTATTGCTTAAAACACTGGTTTTTATAAAAAAAGAAGGTTTTTTCATAACAAAACACCATTTTAAATAAAAAACTTGTTTCTTAAAAATATAGGTTTTTATAAAAGGATACAACTCTTTGTGAAAACCAGTATTTTTCATTATTTTCTGCAGATACTAAGAACCTCATATAATGAAACTTTCTTTAAAATGAAAAATTTGTACCGAGAATACTGGGAAACTTTGAAACAAATTTGTTTCATTGCGATTTATAAAATAAGATCCTAGAGTTTAAAACATCCCGTATATAATTAGTCCCAAAATTTTCCGATTTTTACTAAAGTTCCCTATTTGTAAATATGTGTCTAATCTCCTTTTTTCTTTTCCCTTCCAGCTGTGAGAGCCGATCGTATGCGCGGCGGTAGAAATAAGTTTGGACCCATGTACAAAAGAGATCGAGCGCGAAAATTGCAAGTGATGCGACAACGACAAATAGCATTGCAGGCCTTACGAACGTCTATGGGAACGGGAGAAATCAAACCGACACCTCTATCGCCCGGCTATCAACAGGCCTATACAAATATGAATATAAAACAAGAAATACAAATACCTCAGGTGAGTGGCAAAACAAAACCGAAATGAAACTTTCAAATTTATGTTAAAATAACTAAATTGTTATTGTTTAATTGTTTATTAGCAGAAAAAAAAACGAAAATTTGCATAATTAATAACAACAAGGTTTAAATTTTATAATGACCTTGACATTGACCCATTTGCCTAAATTTAACACAAAATAAAGCTATTTTGATTTTTGTTTTAGCACTAAAAAGTAGGACACTTTATTAAATAAAACAACAACAAATATTAAACAATATTTTTTTTTAAATTGAGAAAAAAAAATTTTCATTCAATCAACTATTAATAAATTTTATTAAAATTTTTTTTAATTACTCCCTTCTTCCCCTTTAGGTATCCTCTCTAACACAATCACCCGACTCATCACCCAGCCCCATTGCTATTGCCTTAGGTCAGGTTAATGCCAGCTCTGGTGTGATAGCAACACCTATGAATGGCAGTAGTGGTGCTGGTGGTGGCGGAGGAGGCGGCGGCGGTGGTGGTGGCAATAGTGGTAATAACAACAGCAGCAATACAAGTGATGGCATCAACCGCGTTGGTAGTGGCAGTGGTGGTGGCAGTGGTAATTGCCATGAAACTGGCACAGGATCCTTACAAAGTGCCAGCGATTCAAAATTGTGGTATAAAGAATTTTGTTTTGTATTTTTTTTCTTACTTTTGTAATTGTTGTTGTTAACCGCAAATGTATGTTTGATATTAAGGGTGTTTAAGTGTGTATGTGTGTGTCAGTGTTTGTGGGAAAATGTGTTTTTCGAAGATAAATTTATGTTTTTTTAGGGGTGTAGATTTTTTTCTGGAAATTTTTCGAAACCTCAGAAAAAAGCTTAGAGTTTGAGGTTTTAATACTTTTTTTTTGAGAAGAAAGTCAAGTTGGGAAGTAAAAGCAAAAGAGATTTGTAGGAGAAAGGGAAATACTTTTTTTTGAATTAAAGAAAAGCTTTTTTATACTTATAAAAAAAATAAGAAAATGTAAAAGCTTTTATGTATAAAACTTAAAGGCTTTTAGAAAGCTTAAAATATTTAATAAAGATGAACAGTTTAAGTATAGATTAAAAGCTTTTATAAAGCCTGAAAGCTTTCAACAGTTATTATAAAGTTTAAAAGCTTCTGTAAAGCTAAACAGCTTTTGTAAATTATTAAAGCTTTTGTGAAGCTTAACAGTTTAAATAAAGTCTAAAGCTTTTATAAAGCTTAAAAGCTGTTATAGATCTAAAAGCTTTTAAAAGCTTAACAGATTTTATAAAGCTCAACAGTTTAAATAAATATTAAAAGATTCTATAAAGCTAAAAGCTTTCAAGAAGCTCAAAAGTGTTCATAAAGCTTAAAAGCTTCTGTAAAGCTAAACATATCAAAAGTTTTTATGAAGCTTAACGTTTTAAATAAAGTCTAAAGCTTTTATAAAGCTTAAATGTTGTTGTAAATCCTAAAAGCTTTTAGAAAGCTTAACAGATTTTATAAATCTTAACAGTTTAAATACAAAATATTAAAATATTCTATAAAGCCTAACAGAGCTTTCAAGAAGCTCAAAAGTTTTTATAAAGCTTAGAAGTTTCTTTAAAGCTAAGCAGATTTTATAAATCGTAAAGCTTTTATGAAGCGTAACAGTTTAAATAAAGCCTGAAAGCTCTTATAACGCGCAAAAGCTTTTTATACAAACTTTCAGGAAGCTCAAAAGTTTTTATAAAGCTTAGAAGCTTCTTTAAAGCTAAGCAGATTTTAGTAATCGTAAAGCTTTTATGAAGCTTAACAGTCTAAATAAGGCCTGAAAGCTCTTATAACGCACAAAAGCTTTTTATACAAGCTAAAAGCTATTTTAATGCCAAATAGCTTTTGTAAAACTAAAGAGGTTGTAAAACTTAAGTGTATATATCAGCTTTTAGAAAACTTAAAAGCTTTTATTAAGCTCAAAAATTTTTATAAAGCTTTAAAGTTTATGTAAATCTAAACAGTTTTTGTTAAGATTAAGAGCTTTTGTACAGCTGAAGAGCTTTTTTAAAGCTCAATAACTTTCATAAAGCTTAAAAGCTATAAAGCTTTAATAAAGCTAATACACTTTTATTAAGCTTTAATCTTTAATAAAGCTTGAAATAAAAAGCTTAAATAAAGCTAAAACATCTTTGCTAAACTTAAAAGCTTTCGCAACACCTTTGTAAAAATAAAATTTTTAATAAATGTAACTTGAAAGCCCCAATAAAGGTTTAAAACACTAAGAAAGTGTTTTGAAAGCTTAATAGCTTTTAAAAAGCTTTAAAATTTCGTTATGCCTATAAAAAGCTTACAATGATTTATAAAGCATTCAAGCTTTAGTAAAACTTTTGTAAACTTTTCAATTTTAGTAAAATATAAAAGAAACCTTAACAAGTATTAAAACGTGTTTAAAGCACACAAGCAGTATTAATGCGTACAAGTTTTTAAAAGAAGCTTAAAACCTTTTATTTAGCTTTTAAATTATCAAAAGCTTTTTTTCTGCTTTTAAATTAAAAAAGTTTTTAAGTGAAGAAAACTCAACTTAAAAGCTTTTATTATAATTTTAGTAGCGTAATTCTTTCTGCAAAAGCATTCAAAATGTCAAAAGCTTTTCCACAGCTTTTAAGGAAACATTCCCATTATTTATTTTACGACACTCACTACACACCCCCACTTTTATCAAACCTTTAACAACTCGTACTAATCGCCTTCTGTTGTTTTTCCCTTTTCTTCTCTTTTCTTAATTTCTTAATCCATCGTTAAGCTTCGATTCGGGCACACATCCTTCTAGTACCGCCGATTCCATAATAGAACCTCTAAGGTAAGTTGTG